AGGGCATTTCTGCGTGCCAGGGGCGATGTACCTGGGAGCTCTGGCTGGGACAGGAGGGCACGCTGCTCGCCCCGCTGCCCTCGCACCCCTCGCGGGGTTACTCCATCAGGCAGTAGCCGTGGTGGGAGGGCTCACTTACAGGCAATGTTTTCTCAGCTTTCATTTGTGTTTTGGGGACTGTGGTTCCACTAAACACCTTCTCTTTCCTTGTTTTTTGCTCTTTTCCAGTGACTCAACCTTTGGGAAGAGAAACTTTGAGCCAATGCTGACCGTGGAGCTATGTGGGACCGCAGGTAGGAAAGGATTTTAATTCTTTTAATTTTGCAAAAATCCTCCTTTGTGAGGGGGCAAATTTACCCTAAATTCAGTCTGGAGTTGCTGGTTCCAGCTGAGCCCAGCCAAGCAGGCATGTTCATCCCCCACCCCAGGAGCCCCACGTTGCACCCCAAATGCAGGGGAGTTCCCATGCACTGCCTTGCCTCTGCATCTGAGCACGACAAGCAGCTCGCAAGCTGCAGCCTTCAGAGATGCCAGTGCTGGGGGGACACATTTGGAATGGGGGGGCAGTTCAGGGGGCATCTGCATGAGCCAGGAGGGAAGGGAGAGAGTACTCTGGTCCCTTCTGGGGTCAGGCATCCTTTATTCCCAAGTGCCGCTGGATGCACTGGATGGGTGAGGCTGTGGGGGCTGAGCAGCCTCCCTGTCTTGCAACGCCTGGTGCAGCCCAGGCGCTGGGGTGGGACAGGGCAGGACGGCAGGGACAAAGCTGACTCCTGCCCTTTGTTCGGGGGGGGGTGCTCCACCCACCACTCCACCGTACAAGCCCGCTGAGGAGGACCTGTACAAGCCAGACATCCCCCAGGAGCCAGGGAAGGAGGATGGGATAGCCCCCAGCCCCGGGGGCACAGGGGACACAGCAGCCTCTCGGAAAGTCCCCAAGAAGCACCCCGAGAGGACAGAGCTCTTCGCTCACCTGAGCCGAGCTGCCGGGCGCCCCGTGCTCCCTGAGCAGCAGGGCGTGCTGAAGCGGCCCTTCTCCCGCTCCTTCGGGGACCACGACTACTGCCAGGTGCTGAAGCCCGAGGCCACCCTGCAGAGGAAGGTGCTCAAGTCGTGGGAACCCCCAGGCCAGGTGGAGATGGAGCACAAGAGGAGGGTCCCAGCTGCCCACTACCAGGGGCTGGACCTCGGCAAGGAGACAGGCAGCGAGATGCTGTGGAAGGATGGCATCAAGCAGCTGAGAGACCAGGAGATCAGAGCCAGCTTAACAAAGCACTTTGGCTTTCTGGACAGTGCTCTCGATGATGAGGACATGGTCTTCTGCAAGACCCCTGAGTATGACACTGTCTTTGAAGACAGCTGCAGCGATAGTGGCTCCCCTGTGGAGGAGGAGGAGGAAGAGGAGGAGGAAGAGGAGCACAGCAACACCAAGCTGTGCCTGCGGAGAAACCCCCTTTCCAGGACCAGTTTGCATTACTGTTCCCGGAGCAGGTCCAGTTCGGGGTCTTCATGCTGCCGGTCCCGATCGCCCGCAAGCAGGCGCACCTTCAGGTACAGAGGGACTGCGGGGGGGGAACTTGGGGTTGTTCTTGCCCCCTGTGTTTTTGCCCCTGTGTGTGGCAGCCCCAGCTTTGTCTGGTCTGCTAGCCCAAGTAATAAAGATGCTAATTAATGGAAGAAAAGCCATTGAAATAATTGGTACTTCATCAGCAGCTGCTGCAAACATCAGTCATGGCCAGAGAAAGCAGCACCGGGTGAAGCAGCCAGGGGTTTGCATGGCACGGGGAGTGACAGGGCATGGGCAGGGCTGGAGCAGTGCCTGGGAAGGGAACCCCCCTCCCCGACATCTATCAGAAAGGACGTCACAGTGTCCTTTCCAGTGCTTCCAGACCCCCATCTCCCCTCAGCTGCTGGTGCTCCGGAGTGCCTGCCCAACTGCTGCTGCAGTTGCCACGTTACCCAGCTTCTCTTGGGCGTTTGAAGCTTTCCCCGAAGGATCCCCCCACCCCTAGAGCTGACCTCCTCTCCCTCACTTCCCAGGTGTGAGAACGGCGAGCAGTGTCAGGGCGGGAGCAGGCACCGGGGCCAGCTGGAGAAGAGACGGGAAAAGGCCATTGTAAGTGAGCAGGGACCCCCGTCCTGGGATAACGCAATCCCCAGCCCTTTGTTCATCTCATAGAGCCGATTAGCCCTGGCTTCAGCATCCCTTGGTGTGAGGCCAGTGTTAAACAAGGACGTGGGGGTGGAGGGGAGAGAGAAAAACTCGAAGCGGAAGCCACTGGCGATTGGCAATACATGGAGTCCTTGGCACAGAAATGCCTGGAGCATCCTACGCTGGTGCTTCAGCGCAGTTGGCATCGGCAATTAGCAGGGTGATCTGGGGAATCCCTGAAGCCGGCCAGCCTTTAGAGATGTAGTCCCGCTGCAGAGGCAGCCCCATGTAGTAGGAACCCTCTGTGTGCCCATGGGTGGGAGCTGGGGGGATTGGGTGTGCAGGGAAATAACCTGGTCCTCTGTACTGTTGGGCACACACACTCATGCATGCCCCTCTGGCATTTTTTTCCTGCAATGTAATTGAATTTTGCCCCTAGCAATTCTTGGGAATATTTCCTGGCATCTTTACCAGGAGAAGGTGAAAAAGCTGCAGGAAGGCAGGAGGAATTTAAAAGAGAAGAAGAGGGAGGTGGCCGCTTCAGCCTGGATATGGCTGTCCCCTGCAGCAGTGGTGTCCTGGGGGTGACACCAGGCTACCCGTGAGCTGGCTGGGGTGGAGATAGCCAGACCCTGGAGATGTCAGGCTGTGCCCGCGGTGGTGTTGCCCTTCTGCAGCCTGATCCCCAGTGCTGGCTTGCAGGGGCTCCACGGCAGCCCCACATTTC